TAGGCTACTACAACTACTACTACTAGTACTACGTCTACTACTACTACTACTACTACTACCACAACGACTATCCCAACAACCGTTTCCGTTTAACGCGATTGCGTAAGAAAAATATGGCGCCTCATTTTTTCTAATTAATCATTTTGACATTATTAATTCAAAAAAAAAAAAAACCATCGTAGTATTTTATAAATATTAATTTCGCGTAAAAATTTTACGCGCGTTCGATTTGTAAAAACAACAACAACATCGAACACGTCTCGCAACAAACAACAACAACAACCAGAACCATTTTTATGTAATGATAATTTGGCCCAACCTTAATTGCATTATCGTCGTCGTCGTCATCATAGTTGCCATCATCGTACTTTCTAGTTATTATTAATTTTTTTATTTCGATATATATATTTTTTACTTAAATTTAAAATAAAATCTCGCTACGATTATACACTACTGCCACGTTCAAATTCCACGTGAACTTTGATTTTTTTTTTTTTTATTTAGTTCGTTGTTCAATAAATCATTTCCGTAAAAATTTTTTTTTTTTTTTGTAACCGACAAACGGTTAAATGTCACCTTATACAATGTTTGTTTCGTTTTGATTTCTTTTCTTTTTTTTTTTAAATTCTTTGTTTGTCTTTAACCCGATTTAAAATTTTTTTTATTTATATTTTTCCTTCCCTCCCAGCCTCCCCCCGCCCTCATCGTCTCCCCCTCGCCCTCATAGTAACAAATATCACACAACTAGTTTTTTATTTTAAATTTACGCACGTAAAGTTTTTTTTAAAAAAAAAAAACAAACGAACGAAAGGTAAAGCGTGGGAAAAAATAAAAACGGGGACGAGGGGGCGGGAATAGGAATATTTTTGTTTTACGCTATAAAATGCCTGCCTGCCTGATTTTCCTCGTTTATAAAATTTTCTCTTTTTTTTTTTGAATGTTTTTAAAACATTTTTTAACGAAGGTTAATTATTAAGTAATCAATCATTGATCGAACTAAGTTAATTAATACTTTTTCCATTTTTTTTTTTTTTTGCCATGAATAAAAAGAGGAGCTTCCCTGGGATAATAATGATAATAATTAATACGTCATTTACATAAATCAAATTTTTTTTTTCTCCGGTGCTTTCACGAAGTAAGTCGACTTTTAGAAGTACGTCGACTTAAAGAATTAAAAAAAAAAAGAAAAGAAAATTGAAGATTTTGTAGTTAAACGAAAGGAGGTCAGTAGAGCGAAAATTCAAATTCTCACACATTTGATGAAAACACTACAAACGAAAAATTCACTACAATTTAATTATTTTGTTATTAAACTTAATTTTAAATTTTTTTAAATTACGACAAATTACGTAAAACATTTTTTTTTCACTTATGTATATAATTTTCTATAAAACTTTTTGTCTTCGCGATTATCATTATTATCATTACGATGATGATGGATAAATATTGATATACGCGTATTTAAAATCCATTAGATGCACTTTTTTTTTTTTCTTATTAATTTGCCCATAAAGTAAAATGCGTACGTGCGTGCGTACGACAACCTTGACTGGTCAATCAATAAGCGGAAGAATATACTACCGCGATGCGTTTTTTTTTTTCTAACATCATCAGATTTCTTACCCACACGTGCGTCAGATAAAATAATAATAATAATGAAAAGAGAAAGGATTTGAAAACAAAAATAAAAACTGAAAGTAAAAAAAATTTTACCATCCTCCTGATTTTTATATATATAAAAACGCGTGCCGTCGGCCATGATTGAAATCGTGCGAGTATATTTTCAATTGATTCGTCAATTATTTATTTATTTGTAATAAATTAATAAACGAATTACGAAAACCCCCGATTCGGTGTTTATATTACCGTTTAATTAGAGTAATAAAATATTAATAAATAAACGTATTAATGGTGTTGAATAATAATTAATAATTACTATCAATAGTTATTAGGTAATTATAATAATACAAATAGTCTAACGACGGTGGTAAATAGGGTAATAAGATATCGAATGAGAGTTACGGCGGTGTGAAGAGTAAGAGAGAGAGAGACAAAGAGTACACCAAGGGAGAGAAATAAAAAGAGAGAGAGATAGAATTAAAAATTACACGAATGAAGATAATATCACATGTTAATAAGTAATTTATTAATATATATAATTCGATCGATCGATTACGTTCATTATTTTTGACATAATTTTATTATTACGCACATAAAACGCACTAAAAGAAGAGTTTTAGTTTATAATAAGAAAAAATTACCCGGTAATTATTTTTAACCGGTAATAATTACCTAGTTAATAATTTTTTTTTTTTTAATATGATTCATTTCGAGAAAGAAACAAAAAAAATATTAATATCGAGTCACGATCCGAATTTTTTTTTTTTTTTCGCGTTGACTTACTCGCAACGACTAAAATTACGGTAATTAATTTCATTATTATTATTATTATTGTCATTATTACCTATTTTTAATAATTATGTATTTTTTTTTTTTTTTAAATGTAAATTAAATTTTTATTCGATAATTGTAATTTTTATCATTATTATTTATTCCGATAATAATTTTTTCAATCGATCATTTTATTACGTAATTTTTCACGATGATGATGATGATGATGATGATGATGATGATATTTATTTTGTAAAAGTGTATCGAATTATAAAAAAAATATAAAACGTAGAGAGAGAAAAAAAAAACTGATATTTCGTAATAGAGAAATTAAACGTAAATTAAACGAAAATTTTTTTTTTTTTTTTTTTTCGAAACGTTTTTTAGCGTTTAGCATCTTAATGAAGGAGGTGACACATATGACGTCATTTACGAAATCAAATAAATATTATTATATCATAATGTTGTGTGCGTGCGTGCGTGCGTGAGTGCGTGTCGTTGGTGCGTTTTTTAAAACCTACGACGTGGTCGTGATAAATAAGAAAAAAAGGTCGCAAAAGGTTATGCCAAGTTCATCTGGATAACGTAATAGCAACGAAAACCCTCACTGTAATTTACTATAACTTATAAACGTTTAAATTTTAAAAAATTCAAAGTCCGCCATTTTCTTTGCTTTTTCGGTCAAAAACAAAATAAAAATTTTTTTATTAGTTTTCTCGTTTTTTCTTTAAAGAATGAATGAATTATGAAAAGTAGGCCGTGAAAAAAAACTTATTTTCCTCTTTTTTTGTTTTACATAACGATACGAAACGATAATAATAATAATAATAATAATAATAATAATAATAATAATAATAATAATAATAATAATAATAATAATAATAGTGACGAAACGGTAAAAAGAAAGAAAAATAATTAAATCCATATCGTAACAATAAATATAAATTCGAGGTATTGTAGTAATGTCCGTATTCTTTTTTAAAAAAAAAAAAAATTTTTTTTAATTTACTTCTTCCACGCCATTTCATTAATTTGGTATTTTCGTGTAAATTTTAAATAATAATAATAATAATAATGATTATTATGATAATATTTTTTTGTGTGTTAAACGCGTCGACCTCAATCTAAGTTTAACAATTAATAATAATAACAACAATTCTCTCGATACGTCATGCGAACGTGAAAATGAAACTTTTCAAACAAACAAACAAAAAAAAATTTTAATTTAAAATAAAATAAAAAAAAAAACTTACCGAAATTTTTAGAAAAGCAGAAAAGTTTTTTTCTTTTTTTTTCCTTCGCCAAATTTTCGACGGCCATATTTAATTGAGAAACAATCACAATCAATAATCGTACCTGTCGTTAGTTACGTGAATGTTTAAGATCAAATCTGAGTCGAATCGAAAGATTATTTTCCTATCGGGAAAATTTTCTCCCTTCGTTTAACATCTGTAAATAAATAATAATAATAATAATTAATTGTCAGAATCAGCAATTGCGAGAAAAATTTCGAATTGTCCGACCGCAAACGGAAAACATTGATCATTTAATTCCAAAATTGGGAAAACTTGAAAATTTAAAAAAGGCATAATAAAATCAGCAAATATCTCTGTCGGAGTGTTGGAAGAAAAGGATTCGACAAAGAAAAGCAAAATTAGATTCTAAAATCGCCAAAGAATGGTACAAACGCATTTCAAGTTCGATCACGACAGCACAAATTCCCTAAGACAGAACACATTGAAATGAGAACAACAAACCGGATGTCATTCTCAGACGTGATTCCATGTAAATTATGCGAAATATCCGGAATCAAACAGAAGACAGCCAAAGAAGCAAAAAAAGAAAAGTTTGAAATACAGGAATTCGCAAAGTGAAATAGCCAGGATGTTGAGAGTGCAAACGGAAAGGTTTCCGGTCATTGCGGGAAAACAGGGAGCCGTGCAACAAACAGCAAAAAAAAAAATTTGAAGAAACCGTTCGGGAAATCCCACATATTAAAACACTTCTTCCTAAGAAATCCGACTTCTCCCTAGAACGACTACTGGAAAATTTCAACTGTTTTCCGCGAATGAAAATTTAAAAATAATAATAATAATTCATTTCCGTTTGTTTTTATTGACTTTTGTCAATTATAAAGTAGTAGTGGTACAAACAAACAAAAAATTATAATTTTCATCATTAGTAGTAATAATAATAATAATAATTATAAATTAATTACAAAAGTGACAACGATTAAATGGGCGTATACAAAACGACCCTCGGAAAACCATTTCCGGTTGATGATTACAATGATAATAATAATAATTTTTTAGTATACTGGATAACAATGACAACCGAAAAAAAAAAATGTGTTATCAATTTATCGTGGAAAACCTTGACTAAAATCCAAATTTAATTATTTGCATTTATATGTAAACATGCAAAAAAAAAAAAAAGAAAAGAAATAATAATAATAATAGTAATAATAATGATGATGATGAAAAAGGCATATAATTATTTATTTAATCCAGGCGTAGATGACAATTAGGGATTTGTAATAAAATGGGGAAAAATTTAACGGAGAGTTTCAAAGTTTGTACGACGACACAGCAAAGTAAGTTGTAAGGAAAATGAAATTGTTGTTTGTTGTTTTTACCGTTGCCGTATTGGCCATGACGATGGAAACAAACGGAGAAGGTATAACTTTGCCGAAAGAAATCGTCGAATTATTAAGAAATTTAAGTAAAGTTTGCGAAGACGAAACCGGAGTTTCCGAAGGTAGGAATTTTTTTTACATACTTTTAATTATTTCTCCAGAATATAAAATTTAATATTATTATTATTATTATTTGTCCAGAAACGGTGCAAGAAATAAGAAGAGCGAAATTAAGCGAAGATCCAAAAGCTAAATGTTATCTTAAATGCATAATGAGACAATTACAAACGGTGAGTTTTTTTTTTTTTTTTTTTTTTTGGGGGAGGCAAAGTTTTTGTTTTTTCGATGGAAAATTCCTGTCGTACTGTAACTTATTTTATTATTATTATCATCATCTTTTTTTTTTTTACGTAACGAGATTTTTAACCTTCCATTCACTTTCTAATTTTTTTTCATCTTTTCCATTTCCTTTCGTCTCTCTTCTAAGAGAACTAACAGAAAAAAAAAAATTTCCCAATATTTTTTTTTTTTTTCGCGTCCCGTTTTTCCTTTTTTTTTTTTTTTATTTGTTTAAATTTTAACGGTCGATTAACCAACTTTTGAAAAAAAAAAAAAAAAAAAATTTATCGAATATTGGAAAAAAAAAAAAAAAAAATTTTTTTTTTGTTTATAATTTATTTACTTTCGTTTTAAAATTACGTTGCGAAATTTTTTCGCACTTTTTTTTTTCTTAAACGTAGAACAACAAACAAACAAACAACCGTAAACGTTTTTTTATTTTATTTTTTTTTTATTTTTCTCCCTCTGTTAATAAACTATTAATAATAATAATAGTAATAATAATAATAATAATAATAATAAAAGATTCCACGATCGAACGAAAGTTGATTTTTAAAGTAATAAAAAAAAACGGAATCGGAAACCTTTTGTCGGTGGTAATTTTTATCTACAACCACGTCGTCGTTCCTTATTGTTTTAAACAAGGTTGCCAATTTATTTATTTATTTATTTTAATTAACTTCCGGTTACTGAATTATTATTTTTTTTCTCGGTGAAATTTTTTTTTATTTATTTATCCGATTCCGGTATTTAAAATTGGAAAAATTCCAACGTTTATTATTCTTTTTTTTTAATCAATCAACTTTTATTATTATTATTATTATTATTATTATTATTATTATTAATTCTACTTTATATTCTTGATTGCGACGACAACAACAAATTAATAACAATAATAATAATGATGATGATGATGATAATGAAATATTTAAAAAAAAAAAAAAAAAAAAATGAAAAGAGTTTGTTGATGTGAAATTTTTCCTTTCCCCCCTCCCCCATCACTATAACGAATCTCGACGCTATAAAAAAATACAAATGTAGTCTATAATAGCAGACGATAAATCATTTTTTAAAATATTTATTTATTTATTTAATCGAAATTCGATACGTGAAAATTTATATTAATTTGTTTAATTCTTTGGATATTTATTAAAAAAAAAAAAAATTACGTAATTTTTATACGATGATCGAGCGACAATAATAATAATAATAATAATAATTTCTCCATTGAAATTTTTTTTTTTTTTATCGACAAACATTTTAATAATAATAAGACAAATAATAAAAATTAAAAAAAAAAATTGTGAAAGCGGAAAATTTTTTTTTTTTTCGTTCGTTGTGTGTGTGAAAACAATGCCAGAACGAAACAAACAATCAATCAATCTCTCTCTCTCTCTTTTTCTCTCTCTTCCTTTAAAAAAAAGCCTTCACACACCGATTACATTTTTAAACGTAAAATTTTAAAATAATTAAAAAATTTATTTATTTGTTTGTTTGTTTGTTTGTTTTTATAGATGAGAGAAGATGGAAGTTTAGATTTAGATCTTATTGAAGCAACGATGCCGGATGAAATTAAAAAACATGGCGGATTAGAAACCGTACATAAATGTAAACACATTAAAGAAGATGATTTATGTGAAACTGCATATAAAATAATGGTTTGCTTTCAAAAAGAAAATCCCGAATTGACTGCTTTGTTCGAATGAGATCCCCCCTCCCCCATTTTTTTTAAAAAATTTGTCCCGGAAAAATTTAATTAAAAAAAAAAAAAAATTGTATTTCGTTGTAATTATTAATTATCGTTAATTTTATTAAAAATTTTTTATTTCAATTAGCAAATTTGTTTATTTATTTATTTTTTTGATTCAAAATCCATCATCCTTTGAATTATTATCATTTGATACGAAACGATGCCTTTTTTCATTCATTCATTCATTCCGTCATTCATTCCAGGTTTCCATTCCAGAGAATAAAATCTTTTCCAGCACTGAATTATAATATTACATTATTATCATCATTATTAATTTTGTTATCAGCAGCGCAACTTTAGATATGGCTAAATCACTTACATTTTCAACGTGTCTCTCATCGATCTTTTTTTTTATCGTGGAAGCAAGAAAAGTGACCTTATCACCTAACTGATAATTTTTTAAATTATTGAATTTATATCATTTAGAAGAGACATTTGAAATCAAATTATTATTTTTTTCCTCATTCAAAAATTCCTTTTATGGATATTTTTTATTAAAAAAAAAAAAAAACCGTCACACAAATATTTCCGTGTTGTTTTCAACTTCCCCCCTTTCTCCCCTCTCTGTCTCCTCTTCTCCTCCCACCTATTTTTTTCAGATCGAATTTTTTTTTCTATTTATTATTATTATTAGATCTCATTCGCGTTTGTCGTCGTAAAATCCGTCACACACACAAAAAAAAAAGTTTTTTTTTTTAATTTAAATTTTTTCAATAATAATAATAATAATAATAATAATAATAATAATAATAATAATAATAATAATAATAATAAAGTGTTAAAATATGAATTATGAAGTAATGAGGAAATACATTAACGGGAAATAAAATAGAAAAAAAAAACAATTACAATCGAATCATTTTGCACGTTCATTGTATGAAAATGATACTACGTACATGATGCACACACATATGCATCCATGCATACCCGCATACTCCCATACCCCGCATACCCCGCGTACCTCTAAATTTTACATTTTTTAAATTATTACTCTCGTTATTATCACTATTATTATTATTACAATTTTTCATGAGTGTTAAACACTGTTTTTTCTTAATAGAGAGGAGATGGGGAGAAAGAGAGAGAGAAAGAGAGG